CTATGTTACATAGATAAGAGTATAGATATAAATCCCCATATACTTTTAGGAATGAGTTTTCTAGATGGATTAGAAGATTATAGTATAAAAAGAGAATGATTATATATTGTTTATAATGGACAAGCTACATTATGTAAAAAGAATTAGATGAATAATCAGATAAGTTTTTCACTAGCTGTATATATACAAATTACTGTTGTAAAAACAAATATAACAACTTGTGCTTTAATTGATACATGAAGTGATATAACAATATTTAAAAGTTTTTTAATAAAATTATGGAATAATAATAGTAATATAAAAATAACTGGAGTTACAGGAGAAAATACTCAAATAATTAATAGTGCTGATAAAGTCAATATAATTCTTGGAAGTAAGCAAGTAACAATAAATAAAATTTATAAATATGATAAATTAGAATGTGATATATTATTAGGAAATGACTTCATACAACAATTTCAATATCATAAACAAAATGATTTTATGATAATGCTACAAATACCTTGTGGAAACTTATTAAAAATTTTTAGAGAATTTAAACCTTGCAGAGTTCAACCAGCCCAGCATGGTGATAAATGGGAGAAAAAATCAATTATATTTAATGAAATAAAAAATAAAAAAATTCTAAAAACTGGAATAGAAATGAATATAGAAAAAATCATTGAACGATTAGAAAAGGTTTATGGAGAGAATCCATTATTATTTTAAAAATCACATCATCCAAAAGTCAAAATAGAATTAACAGAAAATATTATAATAAGAGTTAGACCAATGATATATACTATAGAAGATACACAAGAATTTAAAAATCAGATAAAAGAATTGTTAGAACAAAAATTTATTAGACCTAGTAATGAATCTCATAGTAGTTCAGCCTTTATGGTTATGAAACATTCCAAACAAGTTAGAGGAAAAGTTAGGATGATCATAAATTATAAAGAATTAAACAAATATACTAAATTTGATGTTTACTTTCTAACAAATAAAGAAGTGTTAATAAATCTTGCAAGAGGAAAACAATATTATTCTAAATTTGATTGTAAATCAGGATTTTGACAAATAAAAATGGAAGAAGATAGTATATAATATACTGCATTTAGCACGCCTCAAGGAAAATATGAATGGTTAGTTATGTCATTTGATTTAAAAAATGCACCACAAATATATCAAGGAAAAATGGATAATATATTTAAAAAGTTTAATGAATTTCTAATAGTTCATATAAATGATATATTAATATGTTTTAATAATAAAGAAGAGCATAGAAATCATTTAGTCCAATTTATTGATAAATGTAAAAAAAAGAAGGAATTGTACTATCTAAAAAGAAATCTATAATAGAAAAATAAGATATAGACTTTCTTGGATTATCAATAGATAAAATAGGGATAAAATTACAGACTCGTATATCCAAAAAGATAGAAAGTTTTTCAGATAAATTAGAATTCAAAAAATAAATACAAAAATTCTTAAGATGTTTAAGCTATGCAAAATGATTTATTAAAAATCTTTCTAAGAAAAGACAAAAAATTCAAATTTTATTTAGAAAAATAAATACTAAAGGATGAAATGAAGAACATACAGAAATAGTTAAATTATTAAAAGAAGAATGCAAAAATTTACCAAAATTAAGATTACCAGATGAAAAAAATAATCTGATTGTTAATACTGATGCCTCAGATAAATATTGGACAGCAATATTAAAAACAGATCTAAATGAAATTTGTAGATATTCAAGTGAAACATTTAACCAAGTAAAAATAAATTATACTACTCATAAGAAAGAATTACTAGCAATTATTAGAGGAATAAAAAAGTTCTCATTATTTTTATTGTCTAAAAATTTTATTGTTGAAACTGATAAATCTCAAATTGTAGGATTAGTCAGGAATAAATTACTACCAGAACCTCAATACAGAAAGCTTCGATATAGTCCATATTAAAGGAGTTAATAATTTTCTTGCAGATTTTCTCAGCAGAAACATAGAAATTGTCGATGAATAAAGCTAAGGCCATTGAATTATACTAATCTATCCTACATATACAAAAAAGGACAGATTTTTTTTAAAAAAAATTCGAAAATATAAACTCTGGAGCAACCCAGATCTTAGAGATGTTCAGCTCAAATATAAAAATATTATTGAATATCATTATTGAGCATAAAAAATATGCCATAGAACTCAAAAATCAAATTGATGCAATTGCAACACAACCAAAATATATACTGTCTGAAACAGATATACCAAAGAGCTCAGAAATGAGTTTTCCAAACCAGTACCAAATAGGGACAGCTGGAAGCAGAATTGGACCCAGACCTGATAACATACCAACTGATAATAAAGAAGATTCCATTTCTGTATCATCAACAAAGAAAATTATGATACATGGAGATAAAAAAGATATCAAAACAATAAGTATCATAGACCAAGAAGATAAAATCCCTTTAGATACAAAAGAATAAAAATATGTCGAAATAATCAGAATTGCTTATGAAATAAAAATGAGTGATTCATATTTCATTTCTCCGAAAAATAATGTTTACCCTAGAATAACTGCCATGGAAGGAGGAGACTATTCACTTATAAAACTTATGGCAGACTATGGATTCATGGATTTAATTTATCCAAGAAAAGATTTTATTGAAATTTCGAAATTTGATGACATATTCATTAAAGAAGTGTCCAGATTTGTTAAGGGAAGGAAAATATATTTGAAATTCTATTCAATCAGTCCAGAATATGATGGAGTCATTTACTATCCAATTGAACACATAATCTCAATTGGATATGTTGCAGCCAATTTCCAAATAGACGTTATAGAAAATAATAGAAATGTTCCAACAGTGACAAAATCATGGAGCAGACATACAAGAGCACTTGGAATTAAAGCCATTTACAACATTGACAAAAATTTGTTTGATAAATAATTCTTGTTCTTATGCCAATATGAAAATTGGATGTTAGTGTCCAATGGAGGATATGCAAAATCAGAAATTTTAAAAAACTATAATACAAGATTTGATATACATCAATTTTCAGGATGTCCTACCACTATAAAATAATCCTGCCAGCTAAGGGAGTGCCCTAGTTGCATGTGAAGAAATAAAGGAAGATGACAATAATAGAGCATCTTTGACAAAGGTGTCTAGCTGCATGTGAAGACATTGAAAATAAGGAGCAATAATAGAAAAAGATGACATATGGTTAAAAAGTTGAAGCAACATGTGAAGATGTAGGCCCAAAGAGGAAAATAATTGAGAGGCAAGTGTGCCTTGCTGAGGTACTCAATGATGTAATAGAGTCTCATAAACTTGTATAAATAGAGACATTGTCATAGAAAAAGATGATCTCATCCTATATTGAAATCTCGAGTTCTAAGCAATAAGTTACTCAAAAACCCCATTCCCAGTTTGAAAAAACAGTTTTTCTGGAAATCCCTTTGTACCAAATAGAAATCTTGTATAAATTCTGATAGAAATAAAACTCCAATATTTTTTATATGAATATGAGTTTCTAAATCTTTATTCCCATAGATCCTTAATAGTTTTGATAAAAAGTTTCCTTCTTATTTTAGTAAGAAGAAAGTTTTTCTTTAACAGAAGTTTAGGATTTCATTTTTTAGAAGTTGATACAGTGAGAGCGAGTAGCTGAAACAGTAACAATTCCATGAAGGTAGGAGGCCGTTGAGGAAAGCAGTTTACAGATTCAGAGCTCGAAGGTCACTCGATTCTAAGAATACAAATTCAGATCAAACCTAATGTAAAACTATTAAACTTTTGCTAAAATTAGAATGAATATTTTTAAGATCTTAAAGAATCTTAGGGATTAATTGCATGATGATCATTTGAATAGATATCAGGATATATAATTAAAGGATTGGATAATTTATTAGAAAAAAAGTTAGAAGTAATAAAAAATATGTATTCTCAATTAGAAAATATGAATGCATTTTTAAAAAAATATAATATATTAAATAATAAATGTGAACAATATGTTGCAGATTATTCTAATTTATTTAATCATAGAATGAAATTATATTCAAATATTCAAAATAGGGATAAGATAGAATGTTTAAAAGATTAGGATATATGTTGTAATATAGAAAGAATCTTTTCATTAAGAGTAATATGGACCTTTTAACAAAAAGAAATAGTGATAGGTCAAATAGAAAAATCTCCCATTTGATTTTGTTATTTTATAAAATAAATCCTTTTCATAATATACTTGTTTGTAGTTTAAATGTTAATTTTAAGTTAGCAATAAGTCATATAATACGCTGTTTAATTTAGCATTTACGTTGACTTTGTCGGGGCCTAATTTGTGGAATTCGGTTCGGGCCCCGACAATCACAAGACCGACCCTGAATAAATCATATCAAAAGAACAAATGTTATCGTGTTACGATGATGTCCAAGGTAACATTCTTTGCTAATTTTCTCAAATTTATACCATATATGCGTAGTAATACAATTAAAGAATATAAAAATGCTAAATTTTATGTGTTATACTGTCAGACCGATAAGATTGTTCGCTTTTGCCTAGTGAACATTGACTACTATGCAATAATAATGTTATTATTTAGAGCCTGTTTGAAGTGATTTTAAAAAATAAATTTGTGAAAATTGATTTTTTTTTTTTTTTTTTTAGAATATATGGTTAAAAATATAGTAAAACTATAAGTTTACTAACATAATTTTTGTTTGGAAACTAATTTTCAAAAATGTTTCTTATTTTAAAAGTACTTTTAGAGATGGTCAACATTGATAAAAAAGATTTAACTAGAAAAAACCCTTTTATAAAATTAATCAAATTGATTCAAAATTTGAATTAAATTAGTTTTGAATCTCGAAGAGTCCTATTGACTTCTCAAAGTGAGCCATGCCAAACGGCCTCATCCCGTACAGCCGTGCTTAGGAAAAACGCATAGGTGGCTTCCAAATATCCAAAAAATAAAAAGAAAAAACCACTAAAAATAAAATATACAAGAAAACGGAAAAGAAAAAGGAAAAGGGAAGGAAAGTAAAGGAAAAGGGTAGACAAAGGAATCACCAAATAGTCGGCGTCCATCCGCCGACCAATCATCACATCCCTATCATTACCCACCACCTTCTCTCTGAAATCCTATCTCATCTCGATTATATATATGCAAATACTCGTTAGAATATTTTCCGATTTTTTAGTTCTTTTTTTTTTTCCCTTAATCTTTTGCGGGTTTTTGTTTCTTCCGTTAATTTTTTTTACAGAAATCGGAAGATGGTTTAAGCTTAGATAGAGCATAGTTTATTTCACAAGGCTTTGGTTTTCTTTAATTGATTTGATCTAACCCTTTTTTTGTTCACTCGGCTTTTGTTTATTTTGTTCAATTTTAATATGGGATGTCTAATTGTTGAGTCAACTCAGTCTCAGACGCGGACTGAAGAAACCATAACTGAAAATGGTTCAAAGGATAAGAAAAAGAATCGTCGATCCAGACGATCCAAGCGAAATTCCTCTCTCTCTGGTAATTTTTGTATTTATTGCGTATGCACAAGAGCCAATTCTATTATATTGTCTTTTGTATGTATAGATTTGATTTATTTTTTTGCATGTCTTTTTTCTGTATTTGGTATATAAGGAAAATAATTTATTTGATTTGAATATTGAAAGAAATGCTTACTTTTTAAAACCGTTGTGGGTGGTGGTTGGGTGCAGGGTGTTGTAGCTGGATTTAAGCTAGATTATTAGTTTTCTATTTTCTTGTTTTGTTTTGAATTGATTTTAGGATTTATATTTTAGATTCCGCAGCATAAATGAGCCATATTATATTCATAATGTGTACTGTAAACGTCATCGAACATTTGGATTACCTATCCTGTTTACTCATTTAATTCGAACAGTTTGTGCGCACATCTGTTTCTTTAAATGCAATTTCCTCTCTCCAAAATTGGCTGCTTGGATTTTTTTGTGCACTCTCATGGTTTTTGTACTCTTGATTTTCGAGCAGCTAGTAGCTCAGTAAGTCAAATACACATTGGTGAATCGTGTCCTGCGGAAGGAGATTCCTCACTGAATCGAATGAGCTCTGATGAGCATCATCAACTGCCACAAGCATCTAATGCTGCAGGGTTCAAATCTATGCCAACAATGGATGTTAATGAACAAACTGCAGATGAAATTTTGCAGAATCTGCCAGCACTTACGCCCAATATTAATGGAGAACTATTATCTAATTCATGCCATGATCCGGCTGTCAAAGAAGAGCCTACAGGACCTGTTCTTTTGGCCCGTCCCAATATTTGTCAGATTCAGCAAAAACATTACCCTGCACACTGGTCTGCTGAAGCTGTTGCTGAAGCATTAGAGGTCAGTTAAGGACCAAATATTTGGCTTGCTAATTCAGCATGAGATGCTTAAACTATATTTTTGGAAGCATATTGCAGTTGAATAGATACTTTCTTTTTTCCGTCCATGACCTCTTTTTCTGTTTTCAGAGAGGAGATGCATTTAAAGCATTATTTCGTGTAAATGCTCACAACAGACTTGAGGTTTGTACTAAAGGTTTCTTTATTTATGGTTCCTTGTGGCCTCTTGTATTGTTTCGTGAAATGCATGTACTTAGAAGATTCTTTCATTTTAGGCCTACTGCAAAATTGATGGAGTGCAAACGGACGTTCTCATTAGTGGATTGGTGGATCAAAATCGAGCTGTAAGTTTTAGGTTTTTTTCCTTCAATGTTGACTACAAGCATGCATCGAGTTTCTTTTCTTTCCTTGTTCTTTTTCTTGGGTGATAAAATGCAATTTATGTATTGGAGTGTAGGAACGAACAAGCAGTTCTTTTATGCCTTCAATAAGCTCAACTTTTAATTTATATGGATATTATATTTTGCCGGTAATTTAATAATTTTTCGTTGGCAATTTTTTTTGGAATCTATTGAGATGCCCAGTAAGTCGGCATTTCCATCAGTCTTAATACGCCCCTACAACAACAAAACAAAGGATGAGTGAAATTTCGGCAAGCAAGACCATCTGAACGTTTGGAAGGGGTGGATGTGGAGTGCATGATCATGTTGTCCTTTGGTGTCACCTATCTTTGTATTCGACATTATATACAATTTTGGCGTCATTTACATGATTCTTGTCACTGAGTTGTTATAATACCTCCTTTTCCATATTGGATAAGATGTGGCTTTCGCAGAAACTAGCATGTCTATATGTTCTGTTTCTTAACCTGGCTTTATAAAAATTTGTGCAATGCCCAAATATGTGATATTCTCACTCGTAATGAAACATGTTTTTTTTGTGTTATATGTATATTTGTATATATATTAATTAGTTTGTACTGGATTTATCATTCTTTTTGGTGTAGGTTGAAGGAGACACAGTCGCTATTGTCATTGATCCTCCATCACTGTGGACTAAAATGAAAGGGTTTAATGAAAATGCCAATCATTCTGCATTGATTGATGATCGTGCATGTCGACCTGAAGCTGTTGAATTTGCCCGGGGTAGTTCCAAAGGGAAAAGCAAGTTAGATCCTGTGGATGATTATGATTGTTCTAGGAATTATTCAGTTTCAGCTGAGAAGAGAAGTTATTATGATAATGAGAGTTTAGTTGGAGAAATAGCTCACTTAGAACCAACAGAAGTTTCAGAGAATTGTTACATAAATGGATATCATCCATCTACATCTCATTCATCTAGAGTAGATTATTCTGTTAGTGTGAGTGATGATGGAAATGCAGTAGAGAAGTTGTCTGCTGTGGTGAGTTCATTTTCATCAAAACGACCAACTGGTAGAGTTGTGGCTGTTATTGAAAGCTCTCTCCGACGGGACACGGTTGTTGGTTTCCTAAGTGTGAAGCAGTCTATTTACAGCAGGGAGAGTAACAAAAAAGAGTCTAGGAAGAATAAACATCGATTAACTGCTTTAAATCGTGGATACATCATGTTAACTCCGAACGATCCCAAATTTACTAAAATGACGGTCCCTGTGAAAGACCTTCCAGAATGCATCAAGAAGCGATTGGATTCTGGAGATGCAACAGTTGAAATGGACCTTGTAGCTGCACGAATTGTTAACTGGGGTGAAGAAAGTTATATTCCAGAAGCTCACGTGATACACATGTTTGGAAGAGGTAGTGACGTAGAAGCACAGATTGCTGCTATTTTATTTGAAAATTCAATTGACCCTTCTGAGTTTTCTTCTGAAGCACTTTCCTGCCTTCCTCACATTCCTTGGAAGGTACCAGTGGAGGAATTACAGAAAAGAAGAGATTTGAGAAATTTATGTGTTTTTACCATTGACCCTGCGACTGCCACCGATCTTGATGATGCACTATCGGTTGAAGGGTTATCTGACGGCGTTTTCAGAGTAGGGGTCCACATAGCTGATGCTTCGTATTTTGTGCTACCTGACACAGCTTTAGATATTGATGCTCAAATCAGGTCAACAAGTGTTTACCTGTTGCGGAGTAAATTGCCAATGTTGCCCTCATTGCTTTCAGAGAATCTATGTTCACTTAACCCTGGAGCAGACAGACTGGCCTTCTCTATTTTTTGGGACATCGATCCTGCTGGAGAGGTCCTAGATCGCTGGATAGGCCGCACAATCATAAAGTCTTGCTGCAAGCTCTCTCACGAACATGCTCAGGAGATCATTGATGGGGCATTTGATATTCATAATTCTATTTCTATAGGAAATCACTGGCCTCAGTTACATGGCCAATTTGAATGGTTAGATGTAATTGGATCTGTTAAAAGCCTACATGAGATTTCAAAAGTCTTAAAGGAGAATAGATTTACTAGTGGGGCCCTGTCACTTGAAAGCCCTAAAGTGGATTTCATATTTGATGAAGATGGCGTTCCCTATGATAGTGTGTTCTCAGAACAGCAGGAGTCGAACTTCCTTGTGGAGGAGTTCATGCTTTTGGCCAATAGAACGGCTGCAGAAGTAATAACACGAGCTTATCCTACTAGTGCCCTGTTGAGAAGGCACCCTGAACCTAATGTACGTAAACTCAAAGAGTTCGAAATGTTTTGCAACAAACATGGACTACATTTGGATATTTCCTCTTGTGACCACCTTCATCATTCGTTGGAGCATATAAAGCGAGAGCTTGAATATGACTCTGTGCTGTTTGATATTCTGATGTCTTATGCTGCAAGGCCAATGCAATTGGCTGCATACTTCTGCAGCGGTGATTTCAACTATGCTAATGGGGGTTGGGGTCACTATGCCCTTGCCATACCTCTTTACACTCACTTCACTTCTCCAATACGTCGATATCCAGATATTATAGTGCATCGCACACTTGCTGCAACTATAGAAGCTGAAGAGATGTACTGGAAACAAAGGATGCTCCAAAAACCGAAAGGAGAGGATGCTGTAATCCGATGTTTTACCAGTATATGTGTTGACAAAGATACCATGGAATCACCTGAAGCTCAAGCAGCTTTATCTGCTGCAGCTGCAAAGCACGGGGTTCCAGGTACTGAAATCCTTACTGATCTAGCTGGTCATTGTAATGAGAGGAAGCTGGCTAGCAGGCGTGTGAAGGATGCTTTGCATAAACTCTGCATGTGGAATCTGTTGAAAAAGAAAGAGGTATGACTTGTTAGCATGACTTGTTTATAGATTTGGAATGTCAATGACCTTTTGTTAGTCTTCTAGACTTGGAACAGAATTTGGTTGCACAGTGGGGAAAAAACTGATATGGTGACTAATTTGTTTGCCTATCTTGGACGTGCTTTATTCTGCACTGCAGTTGCAAGAGCAAATGAATCCTTTTCAAACCCTTCAATGAATTTTGTCTCAGCAGTTTCTTTTGGGCTTTAGCCAGAGAGTGAAACAATCGAACGAAATGGGAAACAACATAACTAGATTTAAGCACAGTATTAGGAACTCCGCCTATGCATTGTAAAATGATGAGGTATTTGTGTGCTGTGAACTCTTCAAAGCTTCCAACTGCATTGGCCTATTATTGCCAGTGTTGTGTTCTACTCATGCTCATAACATTAGTATTAATGATGTGGTGGTGGATCCTACTTCCGTTTTTCTTTCTTATTCATTCCACTACATGATAACCACCATCCTTATTATTTCTATGTCTTTGTGCAGATACTGTTTTCAGAGGCCAGAGTTTTGGGTCTTGGACCAAAGTTTATGTCAATATATATTCTTAAGCTAGCTGTAAGTAGTTCTTATTGATTTTTTTTTCCACTTGATAATAATAGCTATGCAAATTTCAGTCCAGACGTCTTGCTCATTCTTATTGCACATCTGCTTGTAGATTGAACGGCGTATATATTATGATGAAGTTGAAGGTCTGAAAGTGGAATGGCTTGAAAATACATCAGCGTTGGTGCTCACTCAGTTTCTAAATAAACGGTCCAATAAAAGGAGTAGCCCCAGCAAGTTTAGGCCACTCAATGAAGTAGCTTTGATCACTGATCCACGTGATTTGAAGCTGGAAATGGATTTGTCTGAATGGGATGATAAAGAGGATGGAGAGTCACAATTAGACGGGGAGATTCTTAAATCAGATGTTTCAGGCATAATTAATGTTGAACCTGCTGTTTTCCCTCTCACTGTTCGACTTCTATCAACAATTCCTGTTGTGCTTCATGCTGTTGGGGGTGATGACGGGCCCCTTGATATCGGGACAAGATTGTATATTAGTTCATATCTGTAGTAATGTCAGGATTTTGAATACTTGCACGTGTTCCATGTGGACGACATCTAGGAAGATGGTGAAAGATTTCTATTGTCTAACATGGATGTGTAGGTAGGGTCGTGTATAGGTTTAGTAGAGTTTCCAGGTAACTGGGGTCAGATTTGATGATGCATTAAGAAAGTGCTTAATGCTGGATGGTTATCTGATGAGTTGTAGATAAGGGAGTTTGTCTGGTCTGTTGTGCAGCGGCTGTTTTTAGATAAAAGCTACTTGTGGGAATAAGGGCTTGTTTTTGTTGGCCACTTCGTTCCATATAACTTGGTTAACTGCAAACTTCGTTTCGGTGCTTATCTTTGGAGCCAAAGTTCTTATGTTTCGACTGCCACTTTTACTGAATTGTAAGCTAATAGGATTGGGTGTTCCCGAACTGAGATTCTGTTGAATCCTGGTCATGAAGGCTGTAATTTTCTGATGGTTTTAGTGTGCATTGTAATTGTCTCTCCCTTTGGTTATAGTTTAAGCATGTTTGATAATACGGACGAGACATTAATAAAAAGGACGTTAAAATCTTGTTAATCGTACTTTTGTCTTCTATAACGTTGGACATGCGTGAATAGTACATACTACGAAGTATTAGATGCGATTTGACGATATTGTACGTGGGATTTTTTTCATTTCTACACTTTCGTGCTTTTCTATTACTTGATGCGAATTGTTGATCATAAACGATAACTATTTCTAATTGCAAAATTTGGAGCACGATTGTTATATTTGGGTGGGAGGTTGGTTGTGTGAGGATGATTAAATTAATATTAAATTAAGGGTTCGTTTGGGAATTTTTATTTACGAATAGTTAATATAAAGTTTTTACGATAAAAATTTGAACGTAACTAATAAGAAGTTGTTACGATAACAAAGTCGAATAAGAGACTTCAACAAAGTTACCCACAAAATATTTAGTAGTTCAATTTTGTGTCCACTTATTTTAATAGTATAGGGGACTACTTTGTACCGTTTCTTAGGTTGGGGACTATATTGGACTAACCTATAAAAAGATACCCTCGTCAATTCTTGCGGGAGAAAAATATACAGAAGTTTGAAAAGAAAAAAGAAAAATGGCGGCAGCAATCGGATGGTATGGACCTTTAATTGATCTCTGCAAAGCATCTTCTAATGTCGGAGGCTATGTACAAATCCTAGTTTACGTTCACAAATCGACTCCTATTCAGGTCTCTTCTCTTCTTTAAGTTATATGATAATTATTGACGTCAATTTTGTTTTCAAATTGATTGTACGAGTAGTGGTTTTTTTATTTTGGGTTTATAAGCACCTGTTTATGTGATTGTACATATGTGGCGTTCAGTATAAAATTTTGAGAAATGGAGGAGAGGTAGTGAGGACGGACATTTTGGTGGGTGACGACACGCGAGCATATTTTCCGGTAACTATTTGGCAAAAGCAGACGGGATCCAAAATTGTCGCAGGACATGTCATTTTGCTCCAAAGTATGTAAGTCGTGTAATTATTTGCTGCTATGATCATTATTATGATTACTGCTACTGTTTTTTTACTACTTATTGTTTATGTGCCCCCCAAAATTGGAGGCAGTGCAGTATGACTTCATCTCCAATAAAGAAAGTTTCTCTTTTTATGGCTTTAAGGCAATCAGGTGGTGCTTTTGTGTGCTTGATGGTTAGTGTAATATGATATCTTTTATGAATATTAGCGCCAACATGAGATTGGTTGTTTCCAGTCATTATCATATAGTTTGTGACGTAAATAGTACCTATTTATCTTTAGAGAAAGTGCCTTTAGAACTGTATGCTCATACACTATCGGTTCTCGAGAGACTATTTTATACTGTAGCATTGGAACCTCTATCCTCTTTACAACTTTTGAGGAAGATCTATGTCATAAGAATTTAAGGCTTAAAACCTGGTTGTACCTTGCTTTGAAGTTGTGAAGTCCTCATGATTGAATTTGAGTGATGTGTCTGCCTGGTTTGCACAGGGAGGCCCATCCTTTGGGGTAAAAGTTTTGAATCACAATGACGAGTTAAAATTTTGCCTGTATTCCAATAGGTTGTGGATTGCTCTAACAGGATGACTACAGACTCTTATATCACATTCTATTAAGCAGATTGTGTATGAATATATCATATATCTCTTCGTACAACAGTTCATATGCATCTTTGTATTGGCCGATGATTATTTTAAAACTTTTTTTCCCCTCTTTTTTTCCTGAAACGCAACAGTTCCACCATAAAGGTTGAACAAAATAAAAAAGAGAAGGAAAGAAATTATTTCCTTGAGCATTTTTGTATTAATATCTGCAAGTTCACAGTTGTTACGCCTGTAGAAAACAAGTATAGTGTTTAAATCTATATGCTAGAAATAGAATTCATCGAAGAATCAAGCACGGGGAGACTATTGGTACCATGCGACAAAGAATGATGTTAAAATGAGTTTCAGATTACGAGGTTGAGATTTCAATATATTTTCTAAGTTTTTTCTGAATGATGGTTTCTGCCTTGATTACCTATTTACATTTTCAGTTTCCTCTTTCACCGCTTAGTTCTTTGGTTGGACCTCTTTTTTCTCCTATTTTATCTTTATCCCTGTCATCTCCTTGTATTTATTGAATTATATTTCATTGTGAGCTATTCCACTAATGCCATTTCTTCCCTGGGTTTGCGAATGCTAATACTAAGTTGTCTGAATTTTAGAATTTCTCTTTACGAGATTCTCTTACTGGGACGAGTTTGAATTACTTTTCTTAGACGTCAGAATTGCAAGATTTGGAGACGCTTTTGAGGCCAGAACTTTACCGTGTTCATCTTTGCAATGTCTACTCAACCCAAGTGATATACTTGCTTCTAAAGGTACTCATCTCCCTGTCTCATTCTTTGGCTGTTGCTGTTGAGATTTTCATGTTAAACAACATGAAGAGGTAGATGTAGGCGTATAACTTACTTCAAGCTAAACTTTCAAATGCTTTAAGTAGGTCCATGTCATCCGCCTCAACTAGGTCTTACTTGCCTGGGATTTATAGTTGTCACCGTATTTACACAAATAACATGACTGCATTATAGCAATACACAAAAAGCGGAAATAAAATTAAACTAAGCAGCTAATTTCACTTGAGGTTATACAGTCCTACAACATTTATCTTTCGCGAAGTTAATAAATATCCTCTATAACCTGCAAAACAGATAGACAGTGATGATCTGAATAGATTCAATTGACTCTGGAGCCATATAACATAATTATTATCAAATATACTGTGACTATGTTATGTAGACAAAAACTTGGTTAAAAATACTTAAAAGAAACCTGGAGAAAATATCGATTGTTTCGTATGCATACTATACTGCAGCAGTTCAGCAGAATAATTAAAAAGAAAAACTTTGACCTCCTAAAGAAGCATTCAAGTCCATGCCTGAAGAAACTTTAGATATGTCCATGCCTGAAGAAACTTTAGATATGTTTGTTAAGTAAAGCAATAATAGCAAATTATTATCCTTCTTTCACAAAGAATTGTTATTATATCCAAAAATTAAATTAGCTCTTTACAATTATTTTACCAACCCAAATTGTCATTTGTAACTTGCAAAATGATATAATTAATATGATTACTATGATGATCTTAAAAAATTACAGTAATCAGTTTAGAATATTTGAACTGTCCAGTATGCCTAACTGAAAGGTCTACATCATCAGTGAACTGGCTCAGCTCCTTGTGTCTTTGGACTGTCACCTTTTTAATTAGGAATTGCTTCCTTTCAGGATGTAACAGCAGTTCATTTTTCTAATGTGATTTGTGTTTCCACCGGGATTTCCAAGATACTGAAGTGCACACATGATGCTAATAGACAAAGGTCAAGAGCATGATGTAGAATTATTTTGGAAAAAAAACATCTCCATGTTATTCATAGAATTGTCTCTTTACATCTTGCTAGTTCTGATATTTATACTCGATCCTAAGCCTACATTATATACAATCTGTAATAACATTTAAGACAAAATATCCTTCAAAGTAGGACTAAGCCCTTGTTTGAACCCCATTTTTTCTATCAAAATGCATTCTTGAAAAGTAATTTGACTCCATTTCAACCATACATTCTTCAATGAAATAATACACTTAAACCCAAAACTTTTCCTTATTTTTTAACCACACATTCTCCATCATAATACTATTGCAAAATGCATTTTTTGAAAAAAAAAAAAAAAAAAAAAAATCAACGGAATCAACAAATGCAATACGGTCTGGAACTTTTGAATTTTGGGACTATGTCTATCTCCTGTTTAACAATCGTTATTTCAAAACTATTTTTTTTCACACTCATTTTTAATCGCATATTCTTACAATAAAATATTTTTTACGTAAAATAAAATTTTTTCTACTTTTTAACTATATATTCTCCAAAAGTTCACCATTTAAAAACTCATTATCCCTTCCCCTAAAAAAAAAAGTAGCTCAAACAGTGCATAAATAAAATCTACCGGCTAACTACCCAATATTCTATGACAATAAGTCAAAACCCCTTAAACAAACCAACACGTGATAACTTAAATTACACTACTGTTCTTGTTTTACATCTGATGTTTTTTCCATTTTCAATTATAGTTTGTGCTCAAGAATTGTAGTGTACTGTATGCTGCTTGCTCTTGATGTGGAGCTTACACGGGCTTTCATCTTCTTATGTAGGTATAGATCAGTTAATAGAGGAATGTAGTGCTGGGATAGCTACGAAGGATAAACTTAGAAAAGTCCTGGAATGGGTGCGAAGAACTGGACTTATACATGGCTCCGGTGAATTAAACTACCATCATGTGCTCTCTTTATCACTTCTTTTCTATTATCTCTCGAAGGAATGCATTTTGGTTAATGTCCAATTTCAGAATGTTTTTTAGGAGTATAATCCTCCATTATTACATACTACTAATATCAATGCAAATCATTTTATGCTTTTCTTTTCCTTGAATTTACAGCACAGATACACACGCGCACATTCGTGGGCATATAAATTGTCTGTTATTTGCTCTGAATTGGCTGTTAGTGGACTCATTTTGCATCGGCATATCTGCATTGATCTACTCATTATTTGCGTTTATTCACTTTTTTGTCTTTTAGGTACCTTTTTTGTCTTTTAGCTACCTCTTCAATTATCCCTTTCACTGGATTAATGCTATGAAACAAATTCATTCTAAGAAACAAATTCATTCTAACTTTTTGCATCTTTCTCTTTGGCTCACTTGTTGACACGGAGTTGGTGGATTAAGCACTAATCTTCACTAAAATATATCTTAATTTATGAAAGAGTCTGACACAAGGTCTTCAGCTCATCATAGATGTCCATTAGCTCTCTCTCTCTCCCCCTCCCTCCCTCCCCCCAACTAATATGAGTTTTGATTTTTCTAACGCACATGCAATTCAATAGAAATTGCATTGTTGATTTATGAATTTTATTTTTTTTTAACTAGGAACTCTGTCTTTCAGAGTGATAATTTCACATGAAAAATGTTATAAATAAATTATAGAAATCAACGAGTTTATCTCTTATTTGTGATGGTTGTTGGATCCGAGAACTTGTTTTCCCAACCACCCTAAGAACTATTCAGAACTTATTGAAGGATATTAACTTGTGAATCCTGAAGCGAAGCTATTCTTTCCTTGATGGTAAATGCTGCTGAATATTAATAATAATATTTGACTTTCAGAACAGGAGACACCAAGAAGTAAATTGGAAAGTACATGAAGAGACACATTCTCAGGACTGTATCTCTCTGTTAGATTTATGTGAGCTTTCCAACTCTTGTAAGGCAACTTTTCATGCATCTGTGGGTGAAATATTTCTGCCAATCACCTGGAGGAGTCTTCATGAATCTGAAGCTGAAAGGATGTTTATCAGTAGGAGACTGAATCTGCTGGGTGAAAAATTTTTGGTTGATGACCTCATTTCTATTGGCTGCCAGTTATGTGGTACTCCTTTGAATACCGAACTTGAGTATGTGAAGGGTTGTGTACTTTGATTTTTTTTTTGCTTAATTGTTATCATAACATTCACTGCACAAGGCAATTTTGATTTTGACAGGTCAAGCTCAGATCAGAATGTCCTTCCTCTCTATTGTCAGAAAAGCTCTAATCGCCTCCATGTAGTAAACACCATATATAGACCCTTCATGGTATGAATTCCTTCGTAAACTTGATGAAAGTACTCCAAAATCCCTTGGAATGTTTAAATTTTTTCTATTAGCAATATTTGAGACTCATTAATGGGAAACTGATTGTTACTCTTTCTAAGCCATTTACCTACCTATCATATTGGAGCAAATATGGCTGATTTAGAAAAGTTAAAATACTCTTATAATATTTTAATAAACATTCATTCACTTCAGATAAACTGATTTTAGTTATGGTTAAAAGTGCACGTAGTGCTTGTTTATCATGCCGGACTTGACATTATAATGAACGAAATCCTCTTCTTTTTTTGGTTAGTATTGTCAATGTTGTCGAATCCTCCCTATCAAACATGCTACTAGATTTGTTTGGAGCTACAGGCTTGCTGTCACCAATCTAATATTTTCAAACTGAAAAACTGAGCAGAGGAGATGGTTTCTTAAAGAATGTTTAGCAATAATCTTCATTGCAACACTGGCTGAGTTATCTCAGTATTAAACATTTACTCCAATGTGGAATAGTATGTCTATATCATACCAGTATTTTGCTGTGGAATAGCATTTATCTGTATGATGGGAACATCTTGGAACTCGTTGGCTACATTCAAATTGAACCCAATTGTTGCAGAAAGAAATTTGCTAAGAAAGAAAATATACATCTGTTGAAGCGATCTATACTTGTCTGTTTGGAAGATAGGATATTATAGTTATTTTGACCTGTATATCAGTGGGAATCTCATCAATTTAGAATAGTTTTTTAGTCTTGTCTACTCTAACATAAAAGACGAAATTTTAGTAGTTGTTTAACTTGTGCTCAATTTCGAGTGAGTCGTTGAACTTCATTTTGTTATACACAGTTCAGTTAATAATTCAACTTTAATTAAGGCAATCCTTCCATTGATAAACGAATGTTGACATGACTTAAATAAATCTAAAATAGACGCAAATCATCAATTATCACATAAATTGCTTCCCCTCTATCAGCTAACAGACTCGGGTGGAGAGACACAAGTGAAACAAAATTATGAAATCAACAATGCAATTGTGACAAAAAGCATGTTGGGGAACTGTTTATATATGGTTTAAATTATGAATAGATAGAAATGAGTGGTAAATAATTGGGTAGTACTTGTGGATCTCTCAATACATGTGGAAAAAGTGACTTGGGTGTTTATAAAATGAGCCAAATATAGGCAACATAAAATTCATTCTTCTTAAAACTGGAGTATTAAGTTCAACGAACTCAGATTGTTTACCCTCTCTGATATATATCTATTAGTTCTTATGGCCCCTTGTCTACACATCATGTGCTAAACACGTGCTTTTGTTCACAGCACTGTAATGTTTTCCTTGATGACTCTAGTAATTTGGCCAACAAGGCTACAAATGTCTAGGCATCTCACGGATTACTGATCTCCTTAACCATGAAATATTTGAAGTTCTATGGTTCATCATCTTGAAATGCTGCATATGCCCTGATGTTTAAAGATTGAATTTCTATTGTTTGTAAATATCCTCTATTCCTATTTAGAAAATTTGGAGCGCATTGGTGTGATCTTGATCTTCTTATGCAGTTATATGTGTGGGATGACTCTCAATATATTCCACTTCTTGTCACAAATGAGGCTGCTGAAGTTTTGTTTGGAAACATCCAGGCTTCGAAAGTTCATTCTTGCTATAAAAGCCAAAATCAGAGACCAAGTCTTGCTCAAAATGGCATCGTGTGCACAGGGAGTCGTTCTTGTGAAGGTATCCAACGGGCAGCCAAAGAAGAGCTTGCTAATCCTCCTCCATCGGGTACTGCTGAGAACATCAGATCAAAAGAAAAACAGCAACTTGATGAAAAAACAAATTTCTATATGATCTGGTTGATTTTTTTGAAAATGTTATTGCAACCAGGAAAGAACAGTCCCTTGAAATTCAAAGTTAAAGTTGACACAAGTAGAGAGTGGGAAAGTGGGAGATTTGAGATGGTATCTGTCTCAATGCCTGCCCGTTAAACCAAGACTGCATCATAGCTATATGAACTTTGTTAGATATATAGGAAAATTTCCAATGTTTTTTCTGATTATGCCAGATTATTTTTCTTATTAGTTGTTATTATTTATAATTATATAAATAGCAGCATTTCCTTTGTCATTTGTTTTCAAGTTTTATTATCTTTTTATTGCGTTTCTATCTTAACTATATTTGGTTCGTATTTCTTTGTAGACTCGTACAAAATGGTTTTTATTATTTTTGTTGTAATTTTTTATGTATAGGTTATATGACTGAAATCTCCTATAGGGTCAAAATAACTTAGAAAACTTCGAAAATTAAGATTCTAAGATTTTGATTGAAATTTTAAATGAGAATGTTTTCGGTCTCTAAATTGTGAGATTCTTACAAACTAGATTGGATGGGTTCATCCTAAGGATGAACGAAGGGTTGGAAATAGGTTTGTTACACTTGTGCTTATATTCGTGAAATGTAGAACCAATGTCTAATTCTCAATTCTAGCACCGAACTACAAACTCTTATATGAACCCAACTTTTATTTACCTATTTGAACATGGGAAAAATTCACAAACCAGGTTTTAACGATGCACAAGTAAAAACTTTAAGTTTAATTAATGCAAATATCAGGTTTTTATTTAATTAATAAAAAATATTTATTAAATAAATATAATAAAGTCACAGTTATACAATTAATAGGTACAAATTCATAATTTTGGATCACTGATTTATTTACTGGTCATACATCATAAAATTAATTGATTACTGATTATTTCGTGATTGCTAATAAAAAATTTTGTAAGTCATAAATTATTTATTAAACGAACACATTTTTAACCCAATATTTTCGTTCCACACACTGGGGTATGTAGCATTTGAGGGCTGGTCGCGCCAACCAACATGGCTAGATGCTTGTAACGTCAATCTTGTCATGCAAATTATGGCAGATCATGTTTTTCCATCACCATTTCTCGAAACAAGATAATTCTCTCTTGCCCCGCGGGGCACAACTTAACTGGTGGATCAATCAACATTTGTCTTGCTTCCACGGCAGGGTGGAGGTTTGAATCCTGGTGGGAACCTGCGGCCAGATTTATTTGTTATGGAGCAATTACTTTGGAAGAGGATCTCTTGTGCACAGAAGTGTACAGGCGGTGGGGGGGAACCTGTGATCCAGTTGAGGCATAACCCGCGATTTACCCTCTCCAAGGTTCTAGGGGCAAGGGTCTTCGGGGTCCAAAATTTAGTCTAGTGTAAGTTGGGATACCTGGATATCAAAAAAAAAAAAAAAAAAAGAAAGAAAGATAATCCGCTCTTTCTCTCATCTACCACCCATAGTTATATATTTTTGAATTATTTTGAGACAACTATATATTTTTATTATGATCCTCGATGAAATTAGGTCGACTTATGTAAAATTCGAGCTGATACTTGTTCATAGTGGGAAAAGTAGAATTATAAGAGAAAAAAAGTTTCCTGCGTCATTAGGTCCATGTTTGGCCCCCATTTTCTAAAATTTATTTTTTTAAAACTCATTTTCAAATACATATTTAATGGGATCCATAACTTTTATAAACTTTTCAATCATATGACTTTTATTAAAATTTACTAAAAATCTGATTTTTAACTAAATCAAATAGGGGCTAAAATTCAAGCGGCCTAATTGATTTTTTCCTATATAGTGGTAAAAGATCATTGCTTGATTAGCATAGAGATTTTCTCCTTATAAAGTGGGTCAATAAGTTTATGGTATGAAACTTTTACCATTGCATTCAGTATGATATCCAAGTTTTCTGTAGCTCTCTTCGTCGTCTCATTCGACATCCTAAAGCTTAAGATTCATATATTTACACGTACACAAGAAGTATTTGTCATCCAAATCCACCAATCAAACCGTCCAAGTGCATACAACTCAGTAAGATGCATCCCTACCGAAAAAATTTATTAAACAAATTATAAGGGTATATATATATTTTTTGATTGATAAATGTAAATATCATTGATAAAAAATGTTCATATACAAGTACACCGGACATATCCGGACAATCGAAATGCGGAGATTACAAGTACTACGGGCATACCCGGGCTAGCAAAGTAAAATCAACGACAAGTACACCAGTCATATCCGGGAAAAGTTCTAAAAAGCAAAACACGAAATAGGAGAATAGGAGATGGTGTGAACAAGCACAATGGCAAGTACCATAGGTACTTGAATGCACTCAATGCAGGCAAGCTGAGCCATAGTATATGAGAATAGGAGATGGTGTGAACAAGCACAATGGCAAGTACCAAAGGTATTTGAATTCATTCAATGCAGGCAAGCTGAGCCAGCTAAGGTTAGATCAATTTTGTGTAGATCAATAGCCAATTTGCAATTGATTTGTTGGTTTGTTCATTCATTTTGGATTAGGTTATGGAAGATATTAAGAATGGGCAAAAGTGCAACGGATTCGAGGGATACGAATCTTGAAATGTGTTGGATGATGAAGAGGCAAGATCTTGTGAACTATATATATATAATTCTATGGTAATGGCTGCATAATGTGCCCTTCCAAACTATACATTTTTTGGAATAAAGAAACTCTCCTTTATGAATTATATACCTTGTAAGACTTCAAGATTCTATAAGAGAAATTTACTTTGAAAGATTAAAGTTGAAGCTCGGTATGAAAATTTTCTAGCCTTTTCTAAGAAATTTCAAAATTTCTATATATATATATATATATATATATATATATAAAGCTTAAAGTAGAAACATGTTACGAAATTGTCTAACCTAATATTGATTTTTATAACTTCAAAATTATAAATTAAAGTTCGGTCATGCGATTTTGAATGTATTGTTTAGCAAAAAATAATTGTGACTCCGTCTCATTCTATACCGTATAGTGCGGTCAATTTATATGGCATGAGTTCACATGATATGAAATGAACAATTGTGACTCAGATTACTACTATCTCATATAATTGCAATAATTAATGTGATGATTGCTCATGTAGATGTAAATTAATTATTGCCAATTGTGACCGTTATGATATTTGATGGGATGTTCACTAAGATGCAATTACATGACTCATGTGAGTCGCATCCCTTCTATAGTGCAGAACTATGATTACAAATTTGCAGTCCTCCAACCGTGTAAATTGAAAGAGAATAATTGTCTTTTTCTTAATGCAAATCAAGTGAGTGATTTGCTCTGACTATATCGCAGTTTAAAAAATATCGGTCAAACTACCATAATTTTGAGAATATTATCATAAATTTATAAAAATAATAAAAATAAAATTCTAAAATTTTTGGATTAATTAAATTCCTAAATGTCTTATTTAACAGTTTTTTTAATCACTTATTTATCAAAATTAAAACTTAAATATTCAATAGGTCTAATTTTTTTCTTATTGAAATCTGTTAATTTTTTTTCTTAATTTAATCCAATTAATTATATATTATTAATTGGAATTAAGACATGAATTTTGAAATAATTTGACAAGTTTGTTAATTTCGAAATGTAATTCTCATATGTAAGAGTTATGTATTGTTCTCTTTCCCTAATGATAGAGTTCAACAATGGAGTTTAGGATTCAGTTAAGAAATTAAGATTTTGAAGAAAAATCACTAATGGGTTAGAAAAAGACAATATTGTTTCAAATAAAATAAGAAACGAGAATCTCAAATCCTAACTGAACGAATTCATCCATATTCATGAATGACATCCTCCACTCCACCACCTCGACCGGTGTCATACTCCTATTCAAATACCATTAAGTGCTAACACCATCAAATTGGTATCAACTATCCTTTAGCCATTAGTATTAGTTTTTTCATAGCCACGATGCTTTCCTTTTAGCTAAGATTTGTCCACATTCCCAAATCTGCTTGAGTCAATAAGGCCATCATTGAGGTAGCCATTAGCGGCTCCAAGAAGATTTGCAAAATTGAGTTTCCTAAGAGAATTTTTGGGGAAGTTGCGATGTCAATGCTTCAAGCATCTCTAGCATTCCAATTACTTGGTATATATATTTTAAAAAGAATAATTAGACCCGATTATTGAAAAATAATATTTAACACCTGAATTTTGAAAATGAAACTTAAAATGTAGGGTTTGAGGCAATTTTTCCTAAAACTATAGACTTTGGTTGATAAGTTTGACTCAGCTTAAAAAGTTTACTTATTAGTAAATAAGGTTTTCCAATTGATCAAAATTAAAAATAAGTTAGTTATTTATTTTGATAGTAGAATTATTATCAAAGTAAACATTTTTTTACTTAAAAGTAAAAAATAAAAAAATATCTGAACATTGTTAAAATGACAATAACTTAAAAAGTAATGTTTAGTTATTTCTAAGCGAAGCATAGCCAAACATCCTAGTAAGAAAAACTTATTGGTTCCTAAACATTTACATTTTTTGTCATGGATTATTGACCGCACGACTTTTGTTATTGGGCATTTTGCAAATATTACATGAAATGAAAAGAGAAAGAATCCCATATTTCAAATATGACATAAATTTGTTATACTAATCCCATTATTTATGATACTAATAAGATGTAGATGAGTCTATGCTTGAAAGTTAGAGATGAAATATGATGAAGTTGATGAGCAAGACAATGGATGATTTTTTGCAACCCGAAAAGGTAATTTTGCGTGGAGATAAGAGGCCTTCAGGTTGTGAACTTCTTTACCTACTTAAAAGTGAATATGGTGAAGTTTTATCAAATCTAGAGTGTAAGCCTATTGTAGGCATTGCATATTAAAGTATGTGAGCTTGGCAACCATCATGGAGAGTTATCATATGTAACCACTACTTATACTCTAAAAATGATTTCCTTGAAGGCTACTCTTCCACTGGTAATAGGCCCTTGAAAATATTTTTTGTTTAGTCAAGTTTTGCTATGGTAAGAAATTAATTCAACATCTAGGTTCGGGTTAATCTATGTCAATTTATATGATCATTTGTTTGTCTTAGTATTGTTGACCAAATAGGAGTCCTTCGGCCATCCTTCTCAATAAGTTTGCTTATCAATTAAGTTGTCAGTATGAATTTTTAACATTTGTATATGGGGTAAATTCTACTAATTTCATTCTTCGCGTCTCTAGAAAAGCATGCTCATAACTTGTTTAGTCAAAGGATGTAATCGAACAA